CATGTTTTGTGAGTATTCATATCAATTTACTCAATAAAAATGGAAACATTGAAGTAACTGTCTTTTAGTTATGAAAGAAACAAGATCGGCAAAAAAAAATCGAGATCGGCAGGTAAGGTTGCCTAAGGATCGGTGATCGGCCAGAAAACTGCAATCGGTGCACCCCTAGTTCATATATATATATATATATATATATATATATATATATATATATATATATATATATATCTGAAAATCACAATATACCACAAAGTATGAACAATTTCCTGCCATTTCCCTGTCAAGTTTGCCATATCATGAAGTACCTGAAAAGATAAACACATTTCCACTGCAAGTAATACAATCTATAATGCAATAAAGTTACTGCTCAGTTCAGCAGCACTGTGGATGACATAACTGCACATTAATAGGAATGAGTGTATAAATAAAACGCTACAGCATCAGGTGACTCACCAGGTCCTTCCTGCTTCACTAAGGCCAGCCCTACACAGCCATTCTGACACCCAAAGGCAGACAGCCGTCGACCACCAGAGACTCTCATCATATCCATCCATATCACACTGCAGAGATTTTAAAAAGCAATTGGCACACATGAAACACACATTTGACAGGAAGCAAAACTTGGAAAGCAGACATTACTGACTTGCTGGGAAGGTCCAGGAGCTCAGGGAAGAGTCTTCCGATTGGCTGCTCCTCAAACTGGTGTAAGGACGCATTCTACAGAAGACAGGAACAGTGATGATGATACAGAATCTGTAGGAGTCCACAGGAATTACACTACATCAGTATTTCACAATCCAGTCCTCGGGAACCCACAGACAGTCCACATTTCTGCTCCCTGTCAGGGAGCGAAAACACCCGAGGCCCGGATTGGGAGACACTGCCCTACATAACAAGGCTGAATAATCAAACCTCCTTGTAGAGATGAATCTGCTGGTCATGGCCGCTGAGCAGAAACACCGTCTCATTGCCGTCCCCACACTGCACTCTGAGGTTGGTGAAAAAGAGTCTTATATATTGGGAATGCACATCCCCCCCCCCCAGGTAACACCTTTTCCATCAAAAACATGATTACAAAAATTCCAAACTTGAGTATGACAAAGCTGGACTTCCTATCCTACTGAAAGCATAGTACTACAGAAAATACGAAATGCGGTCCAATTAAATGGTGCATACAAAAGAAAAAAAATTAAAACACTATATACACTGCTACTATTTGTGGGAGAGTTAAATACAAAAAGTCTTGCTTCCAAACTTTTCCCACCGTTTATAGAGGACGAAAAGTAATGCAGCAAGATTTATAACACAGTATTATCAAGTAAGTTTTCTGCATCTGCCTCTATAGCCTCTTGCTCAAATCACACAACCAGCAGTCATTCTCTATCTTTGTATTTAAAAACGAAAAAAAAAACCTTCACATAATGGGCATAGAAACTTTTACAGGCTAAATACAAACCATCCTGATGTGCTCCAATACACAGAGGTGGCAATTTCAGGTCCAGAAAGTAAAAATCCAGACCATGATTTTGTTTCAACCAACCAGGTGAGTACTCTGTGACTGTGACTCTTTATGCTCAACTGGTTGGTTGAAACAAAATCATGGTCTGGATTTTTACTTTCTGGACCTGAAATTGCCACCTCTGTCAATAAACGAAATGTCACAATTACCTGTGTACCACAGACATGCAATTTGGCTACCCATACCCCAGGTAACAAACTGCTCAACCCTTATTCTGAACATAAAAGTGATGAACTTAAAAAATGTTGCATTAGTTTGCTTGCCAAAATACTCCTCATGCATCAGTCAAGACAAAGTATAGCTCACTCTGTGTGGTACAGCTGGAAGGGAGTAAATCGCAGCTCCAGATTCAGACAGCTCTCTAAAAGGACAGAAAAAAAGAATGAATCAACAGAGAAATCATTTTTTTGGATGCACTGACATTTTCTAAATCAGCATTGTGAATTTGAACTTTACAAATAGTACTTAGAAATTACAGGCATAGCAAGAGGACAGACCTATGTTGTTAATTCTGCTTTGAAAACATATTACATGAACTTCAGCAGTGATGTTACTACAGTGTTTAACAAATCTTACGCATCAGGACATTTACAATATAACATGAGTAGGCACATCTGGAATCTAAAAAAATATTTATACATTTTACCAATATGCACTGTAAGTGACTTACGTGCAACTGATTCCAGATTAAACTCTGAACCAGGTTCATAATCACAGTAGATGTTGAGGAATGGGCTAGCTTTATCACCCGAGTCCTATGGGAAGGTTGAAGTGCAGAAAATTATGTTTATAATCAGTTAAAGACTTCAGATGGAGAGGTAAAAAGTGAGAAAAATTACCAGTTATCTGGTAATATGAGAAATTAAGAGCAGCACTGTTTAAAAGTGAACACACAGTACATTATTTTAACATTTAACAGAACATAAGGTACTAGCTAGCATTCTTAATCTGTAAGATGCAACATGCAATTGCAGAGTGACGTGCATATGCAGGCTTGGAGAAATAAGCCCTACCTTTATAAACGTAATGCCCACAACCAGACCTCTATTAGGAGGTGACTTATTGAAGGAATCGATAGATACAATTTCTGCATCAACTGCCAACACAAAAAAAACATGAAAGACAGTCAAGGAACTTTCTACAGTGAAGGTCCTTATTTGAAGTCGTAGGTCGCTGCTTATGTCAGAGGGACTGCAATGAACATGTAAAACATTTTGTAATTCAGTTTCTGTCGACTGCAGTAATCGTTCTCGCTCACCTGGGATATACGTGAATTGCACTTCTTTAGCAACAGGCCTAATTTTTTGTCGGAGGTCTTGATACTTAAAACAAACAACCTTTCCCTTAAGGGTTGCAGCCAACAGCTCCCTTTCTCCAGCCTGACATAACCCGTATATGTTACTCTGCGACGGAAAACGGCTGAAACTGTCTTCTACAAGAGGACACTTTCCTTCAGCGCCATGAAACATCTTAGTCTGTACTACGATACACAAGAATCTTTGCAATATGATACAACGAACAATCCTAAACCGTGACAATAAAGCTGCAGTTTGTAAACTTAAACATCGGAGTAGCAATAGTCATCTTCCAAATTATTCTTACTGTTGAATTACCGAGAGGCGTGAACGGAGCATTAACCGATAAACACTGCTCTCTCTGCAGCCTTCAGCTATCTACCAAACACTGATTTCACTCACTGACTTTCTTGAACAAATTCATCAGCATTGCAAAATTAACAGATGAGATTCGACTAAATATGTACGATAACGCAAAATCTGACAAAGCGTTAATCACAAGACCACAATCTAAAAACCCTCGTTTGGAGTTCTGGCAAAGCGGAATTCCGGCAGTGCAGAACGAACATTACAATCCCTGTCTCCCCTCTAACTTTAGTTAATGAAATTACTCCTTACATCTAAATGCTGTCATTTTTCATTTTCAGAAATAAGGCGGAAATGACGACAGGAGGTCATGTGATCAGAGTAAGGCGGAGTCCCACGCCAGCGCGTTATCACAGTGTTGTGGTCTGTTCCGTAAATTTCTTCAATGAAAGTCATACTGAAACGGAAACCATGGGGAAATGTCTCCTTGAAAATTAATCTCCCTACACATTCCTGAAACTCAAAGTTACTTGAAAGAACATTTTAAGCAAATAGTTAATGAAGTAGTACAAATGAGCCATTTTTTGCTGTACCATATACATCTCAGTCCATAGTGAGAACTATACTGGTTTTTACCTATAATAATTTATTACATACTTGATCAAATTTTGAATATTTCTCTTATTTGCTTTGGTTGTTCTCAGTTGGCACTCAATCTTCCATGAATACTTGACTCACATACTAGATGAGGGTTTTAATATATAGTAAAAAGAGGTGCTGGTACTCTCATATAACACTGCAAAGCAAGTCATCAGTGCCACCCCCCAGTACACAAGCATCCACAGTACTACACTAAAGTTTTAGACAGTTAAAAGAAATGATGTTTAAATCTTCATGCCACTGTAAAACTAAGATATATATGTAAAAGTGTGTTAGCTTAACCATTTAAAAAAGCTCTCGTAAAGTCTCCCCAGTATTTGCAGCCACCATTCAATATCCTCATGTATTTTTGACTGAGCAACTAACACACCTAATATATCTAATCAATACCTCATTGAATTAATTTGTTTAATTAATTATTTATGGTCAGTGTGAAATTTCATGAATATGTGTAATAGATGAGGTGAGTAACCTTTGGGAGAACAAAGAAATTCCATCCATCCATCTTCTGTATCCACTTATCCTGTGTGAGGTTGCTGGGACTCCACAGCCTATCCTGCAGGCACAAGGCAGAGAACAACCCAGGATGGGATGCCAACCCAATGCAGGGCACACTTTGGTAGCGCCAGTTCACCGCAACATGTTTTTGGACTGTGGGGAGAAATCAGAGTACCTGGAGGAAGCCCCAGGAGAACACGGGGAGAACATGCAAACGCCACACACATGGAGCCATGGCCGAAACTTGAAGCCTCGTCGCAGAGGGGGGAGGCAACAACACTAACTGCTGCAGCACTCTGTCGCCCATAATTAATTCCTGTTACTTTTCATTGTTACTCTCAATTTGCATATGTTCTAATGTTAATGTGTTTTTTGTTCCAAGCAAATATATACCTGCCACCCAGATAAATAGCTTTAAACATGTCATTTGACTGCCTAAGAATTTTGCACAGTACTGCACACGAATAATGAATTTATTACATTCATAACTAATATTTACCCTTCTACCAGTGATATATCTGAGGGCGGCTGGGAATCCCAAAGCTTCCAGTACCTGAGACATAATAGTAACAATTTATTTATGGTTTATTTGACATGAACAGTGCACATTAATAAACATAAAATGTAAATGTGCCAGAATTAGCCAAAATGGATATTTTACATCTGTTGTCCACGGACCGATGGCAACAGGTCAGATACATAATAAAAGAAACAAGATGCATAAAATATACATAGATCATAATAAAAAAAGTAAATAAAAAGACACATAAAACATACAAGAAGAGAAGGGTCAGTAAATATAGGAAGAAAAGAATAATAATAATAATAAATACATAAAAAAGAGAAAGACAGAACATGGCTGATGGCAGTAGTGGTAAAAATAAAGCAGCGCCCAGATACAACTAACTGGAGGTGCTGGGTAGTGTGATGTTATTTAGTGTTGACATGTTTGGAGGCTAATTAACCATTTTTGTTAATTGTGTTTGAATGTGTGGTATGTTTTTATGTCTCTGATGTGGGATGGAATCAATGACTTTGCTTCTTCACCTTCATCGTTTTACAGACTCAGATGGTGTCATTACGCATTACATCGCTACAGTACACACAGTAAGGATATCCGTAGTTATCCTGAGGTCATGTATCTTCTCAGAAATGGTAACATGTCCTCAAGATTAACAACATTTTATTCTCATATCCTGCAAAAGTACAACGTTCACTTGGAGAAACAAATAAAAAGTGTAATTTCCAGACGGATCATGTGAAGTTCCCAATTAAGAAGCCCAGCTAGAGACAGAATTATTAGAGCATCAGTTACAGGTGGGTGGGTACCATCCGTGCCTAAACGTGGATGACCTCACTTAATTGTTTTCAAAAGATGAAGAAAATTAAAGCATGTCTGTTATTTTTATTAGCACAAAATAAAGAAAGCAGGACAAAAACAGGGGCTGTGTTTACACGACTGCTGGGTAGTGGTGGTTTTGAGCAGTTAGGTGGTTATTGCAGACTGTGTCTCAGAGAACTATCTCCAGGGTCAGCCGGCAGGAGGGAAAGTTCTTGCTCTTGGTCATTCGGTGGCGTGGCTGGACGTCTCTGTCCTGTGATTGCGGCAGCGTTGCGCAGTACAGCATGTAGCCTTTTCAGGGCAACCCTGGGGCCTGGCTTGAAGGGCACCTACTGTATGGCCACCTCCACCATAGACCTGGTCCTGCGGTGGGCCATCGTCAGGGAAAGGAATCAGGCAGAGGAGAAGGGACATTATCCGAATAACATTCAAGAGTAATGCATTGTAAGAAAAAGACTATTCTGTCATTGCATGCACATTAACACTTTGGGAATATTTCCCATTTACATTTCTCTCATTTACTCAATGAATGGTGTCTATCTTCCTTTGGAAATCCTGTAATATAAGATTATCATTCATGGTTATATTGCTCATTGCTGAATCATTTTTTTTTTTGTTAAAACTAACTAATCTGAAATTCTGTGGAATTCTTCTTCTGGAACACCATAAAAATGGGGCATCACTGTCCAGGCCCACCTTTTCACTCTGAATGTAAATACACACCAGTATTGTGGGTCTGCATGCACTGGTACTGAGAAGAACAAATTAACTAAGCCAATAATGAAAGACACAGGACCTCCAGGGAGTCCATGAGAGAATTGGGATTAGGATTTGCCTTCTTTACAGGTAAAACTGGATAATTAATGGGAGAGTATACTGTACTATTCTGTCTATAGGTGCTTTATTCACTCTGAAGTTCCAGTATCCGTTCCCTGGTTAATAGTTCCTGGGTTGTCTCGATGTGGAATTTTTGGAGCCCCAGGCCACTTTGGTGTGTTGCTTTCATATCACACAACAGGAACTGGGACCTTCGTGTTAAATAAGCATGGGAAATGCAAAAAAGCTCATAAGCAAATAACTTTTGTTATTTGTTAGTTATTTGGGGGGGCATTTATATGTTATTTATATAACCAGTGACATGTTCATATTTGATTATTAAGTGTGGCTGGCAGATTGATCTTTTGCTTTCACATAATAAAGAAACCTGTAACGTTTTCCGCTATTAAGCGCTGACAAGTTTCACCACTGGCACTGGTGATATTAGGCAAAAGTGTTTTGGTTAACGATCAAATTTTCCGATGCAGAAATATGGAGATGCAAGCAAAAAAAAATTACTTAAATGTAAATGAAGTATAAAAATAATTCCATTGCCTCAATTTTCAATCTCTTTTACCTGTATTTCCACCTACCTTCAAGCGGTGCTGTTTATGGGTCAACCAATCAGCCCAGTAGTTTGTCTTGAGTCAGTACTAAAAAGCGGTCTGGAATTGCCTCTGAGGAACTGCAATCGGGCTGAGTTCCACTTTCTAGGCCCAGTTTCCTAATAACAGTGACTCTTAGCGTTATATGCTAAGAGTAACAGCGACTCTGTAGTTATATGTTACGAAAGGTATGTAAACGTCTGGAACGTGTTTCCTACGTCTGATTCCCTGGAACACCTGATTGGTTAACATTGATGGCTCGAGAACTGATTATTCCCTCCATGCAGCAACTGCTTGACTGCAGCATTAGTGTGTTTTTAATAAATACAACACTGCAATAATGCTTCAAAATACAGCATTAATCAGAACTGGGGAGAAGCTAAAAGTAAAATACAAAATATATTAGACTAAGATGTAAATGAAAGTGCAGTGTCGATTATTATCAACCTCATAAACCAAAGTTTTAATATACTGTGACTTTCGCACATTTAGACAACTGTGTGCATTCCAGGGGCGTCGGAAACTGAGGGAATGAATCCACCTCAATCTCAGCAGAACCCCCGCCCCCTTCCTTCCCAATTAATAAATAAATACATAATCGACACCATGGTCCTTATCTTTCATTATTAATCTGCGCTTTACTGAGGCCAATTTGCTGCGCATTCAGAGCGCAAGGATGAAACTTAACGAAGACTGAAGTCATGTATCAGACAAAATCAGTTTCTCATATGGGTCAATTATTTTTTAGTTAAGTGATGTTTGGTTATGAAACTGTACCCTTAACTATGTTAGTCTTGTTTTAAATGAGCAGTATGAGCCGAAAACAGTGATAAGAGACAGCTGAGAGAGGCTCAGACCAACCTTATGAAAGAACATCTTATGGAATATATTGTATACTTAACTAAGAATGTTTTGAGAAATATTGAGCATTAAGAGACAACTTAAGGTAGAACTTACAAATGACGCAGCACCAAGAAGGGTGCAGGAACCTGAAAAAAAAGGTTCCTGAAAAAAAGTTCCTGCGGTTTGAAAGAGCCTCCCTTTTTACCAAATCCTCATTTATGGCCTAGACACCTTCTTCAGCCTCGGATACTGGGCCTATGACATGTCAGTGATTTTGGGGTGACCTCTAATGGGGTTCAATGGATATTCATTGAATGTCATTATTCTTCACATTCTTCTTCTGTTCCTGTCTCACAACCTTCCTTGTTAAAGGAGCACTCATGTATGCACGAAGGCAGGGACTCTAACCTGAACACTCATGTATGCACACAGGCAGGGACTCTAACCTGAACACTCATGTATGCACACAGGCAGGGACTCTGACCTGAACACTCATGTATGCACACAGGCAGGGACTCTGACCTGAACACTCATGTATGCACACAGGCAGGGACTCTGACCTGA